TATTGCCAAGTGTGTGATGTTTAGCGCTGTAGCATCCACCTTGGAAACAAACGGACAGGTATTACTCCTTTGGGAGCGACAGCTAAGAAAGAAGGAAGATTCTGTGCTTTTGATCCTATCCAGGGTTTTCCAGTAATGAAAACAGTTAAGCAATAGAACTTTCTCTTCGTGGGCACAATACGTCTTGATTCTGGTGCTAAGATGGAAAACTTTGTATTTGGCAAACCAAGGAGAAGCACGGGAGGTCAAGATCCTTCATGACAGAACTGTCTGGAAATAAGGAACTTAAGCCTATGTAAGAAGCACTTAAAAGATCCCTGAGCCAGGCATGATGGTCTACATCTGTAATCCTAGTACAAGAGAAGGAAATGAGACACCACTGCATACACATAAAAGTATGAGCTGTCTCCACCTAATAAGGTGTGCTATGACCTCATTGAAGGGACCCCTGTATTGTGGGTGCTCCCCTCTGGACCCCTGATGAGGCACAGACCACACCCAAACACCAATTCCTAAGCACACACCAAACACAAAGAGATCCTTTATTAAACAAGGCAAAGGAACAGGTGGCAGGCAGGCAGAAACAGCAGCAAATAACTTTTCAAGTGTTAATTTTAAGTGAGGAGGGGGTCTGTGTTAGAATGAACTAGGAGGTGTTGGTAAGTTCTAGTTGGGTGTTTTAATTTGGTTAGTCAAAATACTGCTTTCTGCTTGCTGAACCTTGATGTTTTAAGAGTTAGAACCCGATGATCAGTCTCAGGAACAAGTCAGGCATTAAGAAAGTGGCCGAACAGGGAACAGCTTTAAGAATGTAACCTAAAGATTTAGCAGTGGAGAGGGAAGGGGAAAGGACAAAAACTGCTGGCTGCTGGGACCAAGTTTGTCTGCCATGCTCAGGCCTGTGTTTGCCACGGTCAGGCCAGCTAGATCCCTTCACTCCTGTCTGATAAAACATTACATCATAATGACTGTGAAGTTCAAGACCAGTTTCAAAGGTTCAGACTCCTTTTGAGGCACTAGGGTAGAACATGGTGGCAGGTGATTAGCCACTCTGTGGTGTCAACTTTCCACTGGTTAGAGTCACCTAAGTAGAGAGCCTCAACAAATGAATTGTCTTGATGGCCTTAGTCAGTGTGGTAAGAGCCACTTTGAATGTGCGGCAGCTTCAGGTAGCACCCTAGATGAAAAAGGATATGTTCAAAAGAAGATCATTCTCCTTCTCTCCTTGACTTTCACTCTTGTTGAGCCTGCCTTTGTACTGGCTGTTGAGTTGATCCCCTATTGTTGTCTCTTATTCCAGCTTTCTCAGGCTTCCACTGTGACTACATTCAGTGGCTCTCCAGGAATCTTCCAGTTTTTCCTTCCCAGATTAGAACTTAGGGGATCCCTGCAGGTGTCACACAGGGAAACATACCATGCAGAGATAAGAATGGAAACCTGGTGCAGATTGAGTTCATCAACCTTGATTCTGGGAATCTAATTACAGGCAGTTTATTCTGAATGTATTTAAGTCCAGTATAGTTTGGAAAAAGTTTCCTGGTGTAATCCAATCTCCATTGCACAAGGAAGCGTAATTACATTGAAATTCAACTTAGTGTACGTGTCACTTCCTTCAAGTAGATGGGTTCTAGAGATAGCTTAAGGGCCTAAGGAAGGGTCTGGCCTGGTCTCAGTCATCTAGAGTAGAGGTCATTTGACCTGTTAGCCACCTCTGGTCCTGGCTGTGGGAGCTTGAAGGAGCCTCTGGCTGTAAAGGTCATTTAGATTACCAGCCACTTCTGGTCTTGGTTGTAAGAGCTTGATATGGCCTGGCCCAACAGATAACACAGATCACCAGGCTGTTAATCACTTCCAACTCTCAACTTTCTGGATGGAAGAACAGGTTTTTCCTCTCTCCCATTGGAAAGACAAAGCTGTATGCTTACCACCCCTGGTTTCTCTGGAGATCTGTGAGTACAAGGACCTTCCTGCTATGCTCCCAACAGGGACTGCTGAGGTCCTTCATGTCATGGTGACCCCAACCTTAGAACTATTTTTTTAATTTCTACTTTACAGCTGTGATTTTGCTACTTTTATAAATTCTAGTGTAAATATCTGTGTTTTCCAATGATCTTAGGTGACCCCTCTGAAAGGGTCATTTGACTCCAAAATGGATTGTGACCAGTAGGTTGAGAGCTACTGGCTTAGGGACACATCAGAAGTGCATCTCCTATGCCTCAGGTCATCCCACCACATTAGAATCTTGGAGAGTGGGACCCAAAAGCCTGGGATTTGACGTGCCTATGAGAGCGCAGGTCTAGGACTCGTTCCTAACTTAGGTTACAACTTTGTTGCTTCCATGAAAGATGGAAAGAAGTAGAACACGCTTACATTTGATTCCATTGCTATGAGCATCGCTTAAAACAAAGAGCAGAAACGTGATGAACTTCCAAGATTCTCAGAATCATTTCAGATGGCAGAGGAAGGGAAGAAGGACCAGTCCAGAGAGGTTCCAAACTGTTGCATCCTGGAGGTTTTGTTCCACACTTGCGATGAAGTCAGACACTTGAGAGCAGGGAACTCAGGAACCCTTACTCATCAGAAAAGGAAAAGAATTATCCTGGAAATAGGCAAAATGGGCATGAAGGCTTTCCTCTCTATTATTGACCTACTGAGCATTATAAAAGGTATGGTTTACACTCAAAGGATATTTAAAATTCAAATTATACATAATCATTATCCAGTGAAAAAATGTGCTCTCTCTAAATTGGATATTTTGGAATGTTTCTAAATCCTAATTAATAGCATTCATAAATCCACATAGTAAAACCCATTTTTATCTATGAATGTATTCTTATACACATTTATCCATACTTATATAGAATAAATATGCATGTGCATATAGTAATGTTATAAATGGCATTTATACATATAATATTTATATATTTTATTTCTTTTATTGTGCTGAAGATCAAACCCAAGGCCTGAGAACATAAGATGGACTATAGATATACACATAAAACATACAGAAAGTACTTTCTATAAACATAGGTATAAATTTTTTATATTCTGTACCATATTCTACTTTATTTGTGTAAGCAGTAGTTGACACACACTAACTGAAAATCTAAAATTCACCTTATTGGAGTTGGGGATTTAGCTCAGTTGTAGAACTCTTGCCTAGCAAGCACAAGGCCCTTGGTTCAGTCCTCAGTTCTGGAGAAAACAATTCGCCACGTGTCCACTACTAATCATATCCCATCTTCCCACAGACAGCCCTCACAGCTAGAGTGATAAACCTCTGCGATAAACACGATGACTCAGGGAAAAGTTAAAAGCAAAGATCAGCTCCTGCTTCCTATTAGACTCAGTGAACCAAGTAATTACAGTGGGACGGCCATCTCTAATCCCAAAGTGCTGGGTCGCCACCTTGCTGGCAGTGCCCTTCACACTCCAGCCCACAGGCTCAGAACCCAAGCAGTAGATGCCCCATCCCGTCTCTACTATGTTTCTCGGTTCGGTTCAACCACCCCAATTCTCCGCTGCTGCACAGATTTAAAAAATGCAGAGTAAACTGAAATTAATTTTCTTCCTAGATTGGGAGAAACGATTCCAGATTCTCTCTTAAAGACATCTGCTGCAATGTCCTACACTGGCTCATGGAGTCACACCCAGTAAGTCCAGCGCACACAAATGGTCCTAGTTCTGTTCCTCCTCCTTGTCTTTATCAAGAAGTCTAAACAGACTGTCTAGAGAACACTGAACAAAATGGTGCAGCCCTTCCCTTAGAGCCTTTCAAAGCAATGACTTCACAGAGCTCATGGCCGTGTTTATTCTACTGATTAAATTCCAGACAAATTGTAACACGGCGCTCAAAATAAGCCGAAGCAGTCCAGGGATCATTTTCATTTTTAGGATAATAAGTCTCATTTTTTCCCTTCCTTCTGCTGCTGCAATTATGATAGAATAGAAAATTAGATTTTAATTAACCAGCGAGGGTTCCTCTCCTCCAATCATTGGGAATTTTGAGCCCGTAAAACAATCAAGTAGAGAAATCACAGGGCTGCAAAAAAAAAAAAAAAAAAAAAAAAAAAAAAAAAAAAAAGGCTCTATGCCCTGCTGTTCCTCCACCCCCCTGAAGTTAAAGGCGTGGTAACCAAATTTCTCAAGCTAAGGTAGAAGGCTGTGCGGGCATTAGACAAATCTGTTGTGAATACAAAAGTTTTTGGTAAGAACAGAAGCTAGATGCAGCATCCTTGGTCCCTCCTAAGACCTTGGATGAGAGGTCACCCCCCCCCCCTTTGTTTTTCTTGAAACAAGCTTGTGTCCGTTAGCTTATGCTCAGAGAAAGCTGCTACTGTCACCAAGATGCAATCCAACATCGGATATGGAAAGCCTGCAGTCGCAAACGCTGTCACTAAAACTTTTAGGTGCCCTATTCCCCACTGCCCCCCAATCGCTTTTGTCTCAGGGACTGGCGTCAATGAGCCTTATTAATTAGAGATCAATCTCTAATTTGAAGGTAAGCGCCAAGACTGTAGGGGGTCTCATTAACATAAGATTAAAAGCTGACTCAGAGACTAATTATTTTGTAACCATAAAAACTCAGGCAGTCCTGAAGTATGAGCAAAGCAGTCTCGCAGTGTGAGCCCATCTGTGAGAGGTGTTTTAAGATCCACCTGCCCTGCTTTTTTTTTTTTTTTCCCCTGAGTCTGTTTGTAACGCTACCTTTGTTTGTTTTTCCCGGCGCTCGTGAACACGTCTGCTCCCGCAGACGTACATGGGCAAACAGCAGGTGAGAGTGATTCCCAAGTTGATGAAAGGGGTTCTGTGGGAATGTGGGGACCCAAATGTGGGAGCCTGGAGTAAGCCGGAAAGACAAAGTCAAGGTCAAACACTGAGGAAACATTAAGCAGGCTAAGTTTATTAATGATTACTGGTGTAAGTTAAGCGGAGGCACTTCAACAAATGAACAGCTTTATTTGCCTCCACTATAGCTCATTAGGGAAGAATGGAGCGTGCACAGTCTGCGCTAGCAGTTAGCAAATGTTGGGCTAGAATGTCTGTACATCTCCGCCTTGCCTCCTTTTATTGTCGTCAAAACGAGAATCAAGATGTTTCTGAAATCTCGCTTTAATTAGTTCGTTTGTTCTGCTTGTTTGTGCAGGTTGAAACACCCGTTTATCACCATGGTCACAGAAGATGGAAGTTTACGGCTGCGGCGGTGATTGTTATGTGATTGGGAGGTTTGTTTTGGTTTATTTTTGTGTTTAACTTAAAAGAATGACTCCTTCCTTCTTCTCGTCCTCCTTCCCTGTCTCTGTCTCTGTTGTCTCTTGTCTCTCTCTTTCTCCGTGTGTGTTATGTATGTATATGTGTGTGTGGTGTGTATGTGTCTTCCTCCCTGCTCCCTCCTCCTCTGCCTCTCTCTCCCTTTCTCACCAGTCCCCTTAGAAACTGCTTTAGCTGTAAGTAACAGAGAATCCGGTGGGCTGTGGTCCAGGCCAGAAAGGTTTTTGTGTCCTGCAAAATGCAGCATCTGGAAGTAAAGGTTCCCAGCGCTGTTTTGCTGTCCGTCATCCTTATGCTGTGCCATGTCTGTGGTCCCTGGAAGGCTGCATTAGGTCCAGATATCCACACTCGGAGGCAGGGAAGGAGAATAGAAGTTCTTGGACTGACATTACACAAAGAAACACTCTTCTCAGAGCTGCTCCCAGCACCTTCAGACTTCTGCTTTAGTTTCCCTGACTGGAACTGTGTTGTAGAAGCGCATGCTGGCTCCGAGGTGCAGCGCAGCTGAAGAAAGTGAGCATTCAGCGTTTTGCAATTTCTAGATGAGAGACAGGCAAGGGAGAAAGAACATGGGTGGCTGATATTTTGGCTAAGCAAAAGTATACACCACACCAGGAAATCTTGAAGTCTGAGCTGCGCCACAATATTTTCTAATTCCTTAACTCGGAGATTGCCAAAAATGTGGTCTCTGAATTAACAGCCCAAGCATTGCCTGGGAATCTGTTAAGAAATGCCAGTACTGGGGCTAAGGAAGTCAAAAATCTATAGTCAGGCTAATAATAATGAGGTGATTCTGCATCACTTACCAGTTCGAAAGACGCTATTTTAGGAAACATGCTGCAATTGTATCTCCCAAGAGCAATTGCGCTTCCTCCTCCTCCTTCTCCTTTCTTTTCCTTTCCTTCCTCTTCCTCCTCCCTCTTCTCTAGTGCTAAGAATTGGACCTGGGTCCTGCCCATGCCAGTCAAGTGCGGCAGTGCTGTGCTACATGCCCACTCCCTACCAATATGTCATTTTTTAAAGGGTGCTATTTTTGTTCTGGTTTAGTTTGATTGTTGAGACAGGGTCTCAAGTAGCCCACCCTGGCCTGGAACTCAGTCAATGAATGAGAGTGACCTTGACCTCCTGAGCCTCCTGCTTCCACCTCACTACTGTGCAAGCCTGTGTGACCAAGCCTACTGAGAACGTGTTCTTGAGAATCCGTAAAGTAACTTCCAGAGAATGTTTCAAGATACTTGTGGCCTGGATTAGTTTGGGTTGCTGACCACCACCTCTCAAGCTGAAGTTGGAGAAGTGGCTTTGCTGTCCCTGTGCCCATGCTCTAAAGGAGGAGGAATAGGCTGGGGCCTCTTAATAGGTTTTCTATTGCTGTCCCGAGAAGGTTCCTGTTGGTCTTACTGGGACACTAAGGCGTTGTGGGTAGTCCAGCAGAAGCACCGCAAGCTTATTAGGAACACAGGTCTGCTGAATCAGCACTTCTGGTAATGAAGCTCAGCAATCTGTAGCTTAGCACTTCTAAAAGGAACTCTTATGGTCTCCCCAAAATTTCAAAGCAAATGTTCAAGACTAGTATTGGTTATATCCAGGAATTACCCGTAGATGATGTTAAAATGCAAATTCTCACTTAGCCATGTACTTTAGACGACTTCGCGTTTGATAAGAAACTGGTCGATATAAGGAGTAGGATTTTCTTTTTTTCTCAGTTGTAGAGATTTAGTGAGATAAGGCATAAGTAAAACTTATTCTCTCTGAGGTCTCTCTCTTAGCTTTTACATGGTCACTTCCTTTTTAAATTTTTTTTAAAAAGAAAATAAACTATCCTTTTTTCATTTTACATACCTATCCCAGTTCCTACTCTGTCCCCTCCCCTCCTCCCATCCCCTCTGTCTTTCCCTTCCCCCATCCCCTCTGCCTTTGCCTTCCCCCACCCCCCATTCACTCCCCAGAGAAGGCAAGGCACATTTCTCCCAGGAAGGACCAAGGCCCTCCCCACTATATCTAGACTGAGCAAGGTATCCATTTGTTGGAGGACACTGCTTATTTGTCCTGACCACCCAGAACCAAAATAACCACAAAGAAACTGTACTAATTAAATACCCTGCTTGGCCCATTAGCTCTAGCTTCTTATTGACTAGCTCTTACATCTTAATTTAACCATTTCTATTAATCTGTGTATTGCCACATGGCTGTGGCTTACCGGCTAAAGTTCCATCTGGCTCCAGTAGGGCTACATGGCTTCTCTCTGACTCTGCCTTTTTTTTCTCCCAGCATTCAGCTTAGTTTTTCCCACCTAGCTCTGTTTCTTTTTCTTTTTTCTTTTTTCTTTTTCCTTTTTTCTTTTTTTATTTATTTATTAAAGATTTCTGCCTCCTCCCCGCCACCGCCTCCCATTTTCCTTCCCCTCCCCCAATCAAGTCCCCCTCCCTCATCAGCCCAAAGAGCAATCAGGGTTTCCTGCCCTGTGGGAAGTCCAAGGACCACCCACCTCCATCCAGGTCTAGTAAGGTGAGCATCCAAACTGCCTAGGCTCCCACAAAGCTAGTATGTGTAGTAGGATCAAAAACCCATTGCCATTGTTCTTGAGTTCTCAGTAGTCCTCATTGTCGGCTATGATCAGCGAGTCCGGTTTTATCCCATGATTTTTCAGACCCCGGGCCAGCTGGCCTTGGCTCTGCTCTATGTTCAACGCAGTTCTTTATTCACACCATACAGAGGGTAATTCCACATCATCCATTCAAAGAGAATGGGTTCCAAAATGCCAGTACAAGCAGTAGCTGCAATATGCCCCAGGCATACAACTGTCATCCACATTCAGAGGGTCTAGTTTGGTCTTATACTGGTTCCTTCCCTGTCTAGCTGGAATTGATCAGCTTCTATTAGCTCAGGTAAACTGTTTCAGTGGGTGTCCCATCACAGTCTTGAGCTCTTTGTTCATATTCTCACTCTTCCCACTCTTTGACTGGACTTTGTTACATGGCCACTTTTATCTCTGACTGTCTTCATGTGGTCTTTGGCCTATGTGTGTCTCAATCTGAATTTCGTCTAAGATAAAATCCAATCACAACACCTAAAGGATTCACTAAACACCTCATTTGTAGTTGCATCTTGAAATTCTTTGTCTCTAAATATGGTTCTGGGATATTCAAGGCCAGGAATGGGGCGGCGGTTGGCCATTCTGACCAGCTACCTGGTGTAGAGGATGCTACCAGATGCAGAAGACACTGTTTTTAGAACCATATGTTAAGTGGCAGTGACAAGATTCTACATTTCATACTCTGTCTAGGCAAAGGCTGATCTCCCGGCCTCATTTAAGGAACTGTCTGTATAATTCATGCATGACCATATATCTTTTATGCATCTTTACACTTTAATGTGGTATATAATATAATAAACCTTCCATTATCTGATCTTCTACAAATTGATTCCTCCTGGAGTTCATATAATTCTTAATTCAATTGTCCTGAGGACTCTCCTTGAGAGCATAAGAATTAGAATGTTGGGCTACAGGATGAGAATCTTAAGTAGCTTTGACAAATTAGAGAAGTGTTACATTATAAACAGGCAAGATAAAGTCCAGCAGGGATAGGTACAGGACCTTGCCCTTAAGCACCAAGAGAGAATAGAGCATGTGGAGATGCAGAAAGCACACATGATGGGAATTCCAGAATCTCATCACTCATGGTGAGAAATTATCCTCAAAATGAGCAGCCAGGCATGAAATTGCAGAAGAGCCAGACAGCGAATGCCTCTTCTCTAAAGTAATGCCCTGACTTAGGAAGAAACACATAAGTGAGTATTAAAATCCCTCAGTGTGTATTAGTAGGTTTTAAATATGATCTTTGTGAGAATTGTGTCTACATGACATAATTTGAACATTATTTCCTATTTAGGTTGCACCAGCAGTATACCTGGTGCCCTCAACAGTAGATATCATAATTAAAATCAATGCCTGCTACATATCAGAATCACCTCAGTAAACTTTTAGTACTCTGAATGTCCAAGCTCATCTATATTAATGTCCTGGGGCTGCTATTCCAAAGTGCCACAAACTGAGTGCCTGGAAAATGGAAACTAGGCTGGAATGCTGACTCACTGGGTAAAGCACTGGCAAAGCAGCCATGAGGACAGGGGAATCAGTTCCCATCACCCATGTAAATGCTGGGCTGAGGTAGCCCATCTGTAATCCCACCGCAGAAGAGGCAGACATAGGATCCTAGGAGCAAGTTACTCGATAGACTAGCTAAATCAATGAGCTCTGGGTTTAAGTGAGAGAGCCTGCTTCAGTTTATAAGGTGGAGGACAATTGAGAAAGAGCCTCAATGTCAAATTTGGTCCTATACACACACATACTCCACACATGCAAACATGCATACTCCACACACGCAAACATGTGTACCCAAATGCACATTCATTATATATGCACACACATAAAGAAAAGGACAGCAATTTTTGTTGCATAGGCTCAGTCTGAATTAATGTGTTGATCATGTTTCCTCTGAGACCCCTATGGGAAGGATTTTTTCTTACCCATTCTGTCTTCTAGCAGTCAATAGCTCCATATATTCTCCAGCTTGCGGCAATTAAGCACCGATCTGACCTCTAATCAGCATGTGCCAGTCTCTCCATACATCCCTTTCTCTAGGTTTGGCTGACCCTGAGATCAAATTTCTCCTTTTCATAAGAGCACCAGTTACAGCAGATTAGGACCTGCCTTGACGATCTCATTTTAACTTACAATCACTAAGATGTTATTTCCAGTGTAGGTCATAGTTGAAGGAACTTGGACTTGAGATTACCATGTACCTTTTTGGAGGAACACAATTCACTCATAACAGAATCCAAGAACAATCACTTCAGAGTGTCTCGGGTAAGGTTCAACCGTTGATATTTTGTAAGTGCCTCCAGAGAGTCTAATATGTTGCTAGACTTCAGAACCACCAGTTTCAGTGAAGGTTGACAGCGGCGGGACTAGCACTAGTATTGAATAGATTTCAGTGTGCACACGGGAGGCATGTTGCCAAACCGAAGTCTCTTCTGTTGATCATAAAGTATGGACAAGCTTTTCTCGTTTTAAAAAAAAAAATAAAATGCAACATGACCTACTTTTATTCTGAGCTAGTTATCCCCCTCCCTTCCACTACTGCCAGGTAAATCCTCAGCTCTAATTCGAAGCTTCCCATCGTCAAGCGTTCACACTATTAACAAATATACGTCTGTTTACTGACAACTTGAGAGGGTCTCAGGGAACCAAGAGCAACATTTCCTTGGTAGGCCAGCAAAACGGAGAGGATGAGCCAGTGCTCAAAAGGGGATCTCCCAGCACTAGCTTCAAGTACCTTTTACACTTAGGCAAAGGGGGAAGAAGGACACTTAGTTATTGCTCTAGTGTTCTGTAAAGGGACACTGTGAAACCTGGTAGCTGGTACACACATAATCATAAGGTCATTACATCCCGGTAAACAGCACACAGAGTGTCGTCATCCTCTCTTTGGCTCCCTTAGTCTCCAAAGGGGAAAAACAACTTCAGGCAGATTTTTGTAGGCCAGTCTGAACAAACAGTCCCTAAGTGAGGAACACGTCTACGTGCAGAGTTGAGGAAATAGCCTGACTCAGAGTGGAGGTAATAAAGCAGACAGGCACAACCCCAAGCAAAGATGCTAACGAAGCCTTTCACCCTGTTTTACTCTCCATCAGAAGTGCGCATAGGCACCCGTGGAGAAGAGTCGATGCTTGATAAAGTTCGCCGTCAGTCTTTTAAAAACTAACTCAGTAATCCTAATGGCTGCTAACCACACATTCTAGAGGAACTGTCTATAACAAAACGTGGGAGCCTAATGATGCACTGCTCCAAAATTAGTCTTTTTAGTGAACTGAAAACAAGTACCTCCAGACAAATGAAACTGGAAGATGTCTTTAGGTCTTCCCTAGGGAACAACACCCCAGTGGGTTTATCTCAAATGCAATTGCCTTGACCTTTTCTCAAATACTGAGTTCGCTCAGTCTCCAATGGTCCTTGCCTTGCCAAACACAAAAGGCACAGCAGGCCCTTTGTCCCTCTTCCTCCCCCTTGTCCCCTAAAGCAAGCACAGCCTTCCCACTCCCTTCCTCTCAAGGGGAGTTTTCCTTTGGCCTCCACCCAGCCATTTCTTTCATTTCCTTTGGAGGGCTTCTCATGGTCCCTGCCCCCCCTCCACAGTTACTTGTTGGTGTGCATTTTAAACCCCTTCTCATACCATTGTGAATTAGGTTGAAGTATATAAAAGTATGTTTTTTTATAGGCCCCAAGTAGGTAAATACTGATTTAATCTATGATTTAGCCTAGTTCTCAACCCTAGTAGTAAGATTACTCATTAATCTTGGCTTCGGCTGTTACATTTCTGGCTGGCAGTAAAGATTATTATTATGTCTCAATAACTCACAAAATATCTTTGTAATCCTCTTCTTGATGGGACTGGTCTGCAGAGGAAACGAGCAACTTGCAGAAGCTTTTTATACATCAGTTTGGACAAACAGACTGCAGGATTTCCCACCAGCTACTACCCATTGTCTTCCCATTAGGGCCCTCCCATTGTTTAAATGCCCTACTTTCTATTCTGGGACCCCTGAAAAACCTCTAGGGTCACAGATTCCTGAGATTCTGCTGAGAGTCTAAAGGCAAAGATCTGTTCTAACTGGCTGTTGTTCTTGTTGCAGCAACTGTTGAATATTTATGTGTTATTACCTGCCTCTGTCATTCTAATTTCTAAACGTATCTGCTTAGCTTAAAGATACTTTCTTAGCTTTAGAAACATGGCTTGTGACTTTCCTATATTGACTGCACTCAACTCATCTTAGTCAACATACCCGGATGGAATTTATGCAACACCCCCTAGCGGCTGCTTTTAGCATTCTGATTGCACTAGAGCCCAGGCATCGATGCTCTTGGGTGGTCTCCTCATACACTGACCCTGGCCTTGACTGTGAGATTTGCTTGAGACAATGAGACATTATCAAATATGATACAAGCAGAGGTCCAGGAAATGCTTGTCCTCTTGGAATGCTATCTTCTGGGGACAACTGCTATGAAGAGGCTTAGAATAGTCTTCACGTAAGAAGATTGTGATACAACAAGGGTCCAGAAAAGATCTGAAATATCCCAGAGTATCCCATCCTATCCTGTCCACATGTCATATGAGAAGCAGAATGCTTGCTGAAATTTCTATATCAGTATTCCCCCAGAGCACAGAACTCAAGGCAATAGAACAACCTCATGTTAGTTCATGAGACACAGAAGCACTAAGAGCTGCAGGATCCACTAGCAGCTGCAGGATCCAGAAAGCCAGCAGCTGCGGTGTGAGTGGAAAGGCCTCAGGAAGAAAACAGATTGTGATAAGGGAAATTTGGAGGTGACTTTGAGTTCAATGGAAACTTTTCCTCTCCCTTTAGATAGGCTTAACTGGAGTCATGGAGCAACGGCGCAGAAAACTCCCAGGCTACTAAAGCCACCTTGAGCCAGTGGCATTTCGGTGCTCATCCTGAGACCTTGAAGAACAAAGCTATGGAGCACATAAGGTGAGTTGTAAGGACAAGTTGCTTTTAGACTGATGGGGGCAGTTTGAGAGCTACAGAAGAGAGGAAAATGCCTGTGAAGCAAGAACAGGTCTGAAGAAGTATGTGCCATTGGGCTATGAATCTGGGGGATTCTTAAAGGAATTACGGCAGAACCAGTGTGGGATGTAGCATACGAATGAATGAGCAAGCCAGTTTAGATGTCCCAACCACGAGACGTCCAGGCCTGATCTCAGTGTCAGTGGTGTCTTACAGACTCCAGGCAGGAGTGGGAGATGGCAAGGAACGTGGAAGCAGCGTGCTATGATCAATTTCTGACCTCTCTCTAGAACGCTCTCGGCCTCGCTGCTTTTACCCGGCTACATTCGAATCCCCTGCTCTCACCAGTTATGCGTGTTAAGTTCTAAGAGCCAGGAAACTTACAAGAGAAGTTATGGTCTGAAGACTGGAAATCCAAGAAGAGCTAAGGTTTCAATCTGAAACTGAAGGAAAATGAAAGCAACTATCTTCGACTTAAAAGGCCAGTTGTGATTCCCCCTTACTTGGGGGTTGGTTGGTCATTTTGTTCTATTCAGACTTGATTGCATGAGAGGCACCCACACTGAAGAATATCATCTCATTTACTCCAGAGGCCTATTTTCATGCTAATCCAAACACCCCATCAGAAATAATCAGAATATGACAATTGTTCCTTATCCACATGGAGTCATTGATCTGCTATTAACCACAGAGTGCAGATATTAAATGGAAAATTCCAGAAACAAGGAATTCTGAAGTTTTATGTTACACAGCATCCCAAATGGCATGGTGAAATCTCGTACCATCCTTCATGATTGCTCCTTTGTCCAGTATAGCCCGGTGGCATATGCTGTCTGCTTCTTAGGCATTGGCTAGCCATGTAGGCTGTCAGACTAAGGGTTGTGAGTATTAAAATGCTTTGTGTTGAGGTAGCCTTTATTTTGCTTACTGGTGGCCCCAAACACACAAGAACAGTAACACTGTCAATATGGGTATGTAAGAGGAGATGTAGAACATTGATTTTTGAAGTCTAGGTCAAAATTCAAACTTAATGAATAAAAAAAGGTTGTTAAGCATGATGTTAAAATATTCTACCCACAAAATTGTGAAAAAGAAAGCATCACCTACTACACCTGTGGTGAGCTAAACTTCGGCACTGGCCATGAATGTGTATTGGAAAAACACACAGCACACACAGTGTTCAAATTATTCTCTGCTTTTGTCATTTGTTGGGGGTCTTGGTAAACGTGCCCCATGCATCAGAGATAGCTAGTGTAATGTAACAAGTGTAGAGCCCATTACTAAAGCTTTTGGGCTTTGGTGTGTCTTGTTATATATCAAAAAGTAACAGAAAAATGTGTATGCTTTCAGAAAAAGAAATGACAATGATCTATAAAATATTTAAGCCCATGCCTTAAATAGATGCTCTAAATAACATAATTCACCAAATACCCAAACCCAAAGTTCCAGATTTTCTGACATTCCTTTCACCAGTGTTTTCTAATTGTACCTCTTAATTGCTTCTAGAAGACTCTTTGACCTCATGGCTACTGATCTTGATGGAACAGAGATGGTGGTGTAAACATCCATTATGCCATGGGTTCTCCCTTCAGTGACCATAGTGGACATGGCCAATCTATCTAGGCCACAGGCTCAGCTCACCCAGAAAAGTGGCCCCATCACTCTCTCCAACACTTGACTCTAGGCATTTACTACAGATCGATCACACAGTATACAGCCGATTTGCTCTCCCTGTCTTGGGCCCACCTGATTTATCACATGCATTAAAACAAAAGCTACTTCCTTGGTTACACCAACCTCTGATATCCACCACCCAAGTCAATTTATCTTCTACCTTTTTAGAAGCACCACCAAATCTCTCTAAAGTGCATTTGGAATGTTCTGTCCTTCAAACTTGTACTTGCCCTAGGACTTAGAGGTATTTAGTGTGCAGTCGAAGACCGGTTGTATAGATAGCTCCAATCAGCTGCCCTTGCTGGCGTCTATGTACTTCGACGACGTAACTTTCCAGTTATCTTCAAGAAATGATAAAAACTACTTCCTTGTCCTCTGAATCTGAGATTTCCTGGTGAATTTCTTTGAATAGAAGTGTCATTGTAGGGAGCTGGAGAGATGGCTCAGAGGTTAAGAGCACTGACTGCTCTTCCAGAGGTCCTGAGTTCAATTCCCAGCAACTACATGGTGACTCACAACTATCTATAGTGGGATCTAATGCCCTCTACTGGCATTCAGGTGTCCATGCAGATAGAGCATTCATATAAATAAAGAAATCTTATAAAAAAACATCAAAACAAACAGACAAACAAAAGCCAAGCCACACAACTTTTGATCTACAGCCTGCTGGGTCTATGAAATGTGCTGAGGGGTTGGTGACTACTCCGGTTGTCATCAGAGAGCCTTCATCCAGTAAACTGATGGAAACAGATTCAGAGACCCACAACCAAGCATTGGACCGGGTTCAGGGAATACTACTGAAGAGAGGGAGAAAGGATTGTACTATCTGGCAGGGGATCAAATACATCACAAGGGAACCCACAGAAACAACTAACCTGGGTTCATAGGAACTCACAGAGTCTGGACTGACAGCCAGGGAGCCTTTATAGGACCAATCTAGGCCCTCTACATATGTGCAAGAGTTGTGGAGCTTGGTCTATTTTTGGGACTCCTAGCAGTGGGAGTAGGGTATGTCTCTAATGCCTTGGATGACTTTTGGGAACCTGCTCCACATACTGGGTTGCCTTGCCCAACCTTAATATAAGGGGAGGAACTTTGTCCAAGTTTAACTTGATATACCATGTTTGGTTGATACCAATGAAAGGCCTACCCCTTTCTGAACAGAAACAGAGAAGAGATGGATTAGAGGATAGACAGGGGAGTTTGGGGGAGAGGAGGGAGAGAGAACTGCAGTCTAGATGTAAAATAAATAAATAAATTTAATAAAAATAAGTAAGTAAAGTAGTTAAAAAATGAACAACAACAAAAAACCCTTGAGTACTCTCTCTCTCTCTCTCTCTCTCTCTCTCTCTCTCTCTCTCTCTCTCTCTCAAATCTAGGCCTCTTTCTTTATCAAAGATGAGACAAGGAGCTATGTCACCTAGATATGTCAGAAAATATAACCAAAATGACAAAGTCACCTGACTACTGAGAGTCTACTACAGACTTATGTGAGCTATAAGCACCAGTTCGCAGACATATTTAGGAGATTGGGGATTATTTGTTACAGACTATTTTGTGACCATGGGTAACTGATACACATTTTATATGAAGAATCCAAAGTTAGGTCTATCAAAACTTTTTTTTTTTTAGACAAGTTTTCTCTGTAGCTTTAGAGCCTGTCATGGAACTAGCTCTTGAAGACCAGGCTGACCTCTAACTCACAGAGATCCCCCTACCTCTGCCTCCTGAGTGCTGGGATTAAAAAAGAAACAAACAAAGCAATTATGTGAAGAAAACAAATATAAATACCAAAAGAGGTGTTTATTATCAAAATTCTTGTAAGACTTAGAGACTATAGGAAGCTTCTATAAATCCAACAACATTGGGACTTGCACTTCCACCACTGCTCGGAGACAAAGCCCACAGCAGCACCTACGTACTTCCAGTATCTTCAAAGGGCGCTTTCCAGTACCAGTGGCCCAAGCAGCTGATGTTCCTACAGGGAATTGAAGCAGGGAAATGGCATGACATGGAAGCTGTGAAGAGTGTGGTGTAAGAACATTCGGGGCGGCTGTCATAAAAGGAAACAACAGAAGGCATCCTGGGAGCTTTGCATGAGGTAAAAACAATGCCTTCTGAAAGCTAGGCAAATTAATAAATAAAAAACAATTGAACTATTTATATCACAACTGAGTTATAAAAGTCTATTTATTATAATTATTCAGTATTTCTCCCTTGCCTGCAGAAACTGAAAACTGGGTACCATTGCAGCACAGGTGAGTTCATCTCATGCATCATCATCGGGCATGTGCACACTTTCACAGACACAGTTTCAAGCTGCCTTGTTTCTGCCTCTCCTAGTCTCTGTACACCTCCCAGAGCAAGTGGCTTCTCATTTCTGTCACATCAGCTGGAGAGATGACTCTCTCTTTCCCGAAGAGCATCATGGCACAGTCCCCAGAGTTGACTTCCCAGCAGGATAAAGGATGTTTCATAAAAAAGCCGCAGTTGCAGCTCTGTTCCTTAAGCTGCCCTGCATGTAAGAAAAAGGCTGTCCCTCCCTTTCCCAAGCAACAGCAAAGTTGAACTTGTGATAGGATGCAAAGGGAGAGAAGTCAAAAGTTCTTCTCAGGTCCTGCCTGTAACCAAAGCCCTTTTCTCCATCCTTTGGAATCTTAGCTTGGACAAGGGCCTTGTTTTAGCCATTAGGATAGGAGCAAATGACATGCAAGGAGAGGCTTGCATGTTGAAGCTTGCTTTATTTCTGCACACTTGGAGGTCCAAGATAGTCAGTTAAAGAAGTTCAGGCTGGCCTTCTCGGGAGGGCAAGTACACAGTAGCCAAGGCACTGAGGCCTTCAGTCTGCCAAACTTGTGTGTGAGGTCATCCCAGTCCATCCAGCCAGAGCACAGCTGCCAGGGGCCTGCAGCAGCATGGGGGAGAGTTAGGCAAGAATAATTCCAAATGTCTTGGTTTACCAGCTCTAATTGCCAACCCACACAATTCTGAGTCAGTAACTCACTGTTGCTTTAAGCTGTTAAGTTTTGAGGTAGCTGGTTTATTTGTTTGTTTGCTTTTGAGGCAGGGTATCTTTGTAGTCCTGGTTTTTCTGGAACTCACTATATAGACGAGGTTGGCCTCAAAGTCATGGACATCCCCCTGCCTTTGCTTCCTGAGAGCTAGGATGAGGAATAGCTTGTTTATTAAGCAAAGGCTAATAGTTGCACCCACAAGAGTTAAGATATGCGACATCAGAGGCTTATACTGCAGGAGTTACTACAAACCTTGAAGGAATGGGAGAAGCTGTCCCTTTGTCTGTCATCAAAATCTTATTTTAAATGCCCAGGAGAGAAAGAACACAAAGTGAACAACGTAAGTACAAAATCAAGGCAAAAGCTTCTCCCAAAACTACAGAAATGGAACAGGTGTATTTTTCTATGAAAAGGAGCTAAAGTGATATAAACTATGTAGCTGTTCATATTTTCTCTCCTCTTTACTGTTTTTAAAGTAAAATCAATTCAAATTGAATCCCATCTCTAACAGGTGAAAGTATTTTCCCTTATACAGTGTATAAACTTATGACTTTTCAGGTTACATTTTCTTCATTCCACAAAAATATTCACTCCTATTTCACTAATTTTTAAACCATTTTTCTCTTTGAAGTATTTCAAATGAGTTTATGAACCAAAACCCGCAAGATGTGGCATTTACTGTACTTATTGATTTGTTCTAGTTTGATGTAAAGGCAAAGCTTAAATTCAGCTAATCCAATGCCCATCCATTTTTGTTGTCTCCTTCTACCTTGTTCCGCACTGCCATGATCATGGTTTCGGGAAAGGAAGGGGCAGGAAGTGGAGGTGATAAAACATTTTGCAATTTTCCAAGTGCTAGAGATAATCTAAGATATGTACATTTTCTCTTGAAATAGTTTCCCCCATAACAATCCGCACTCTTATTAGAACTGTATTTCTGCTGACAGCCGAGAGGTGCTTCGCTCAGCATCCTCTGTATACACACAAGAAAGA